GAATGAGAAAAGACATGTTACACAAACAAATTAACCCTGACATTTAAAAAAGTTAAATAATTTTTCTTTTTGGTACTTAAATCTTAAATTTTTGTTTACACTTTCAGATTCAGTTGCATTTGACATGGAGGAATACTAAATGCAGGTTAGTAATTGAAAGAATCCAGCTTGAAAAGGATACATACATCATGATTCCAACTATATGATAGTCTGGAAAAGCAAAACTATGAGGACAGTAAAATATCAGTACATGTCAGGAGGAGAATGGTGGAGAGAGGGAAAACCTTCCCATGATGATCTTTTTAAATCTCCAACTTGTGTCTACTTTCCTTCTATATCTTATTCTATCTCTTCCGAAACTAGATGTGAATCTACAGATAGCTAACGTTAGCCTTTGTAAGTGATTTTATCTGCTTCCTGAGTGCTCAAAGTTTCTTTATTTTCAAAATTAATTAACTTTACTAGCATATTTCTCAGTTACAAACAACTTAATCAATTTTCCTGGCATAGCTTCCTCTTTCAACATATAGATTCAATTCTTTTAGGAAAAATGTATTGAATTATATCTTTAAATGTATGTTCAATCTGTTGTTTTGGTTTTCTTGCAAAGAGACTCCAACTAAATATCCTTTATATGTCCTATATTATATAAATGTATCTATATAATCTCTCATATTCTAATCCTGCCTTTATTTCCACTTTATTAGTTCACTTTTCTTGTATGCCTTTATAATATCTTCCATGGTGTCTTTTTCATGTTCTTTCAATTTTTATTTTAATTTCTCTACTTTGTATTTTCCCCATTTCTTTCTGAAATCCAGCCACACTCTCATCTGCTCCTATTGCCCCATAATATGTTTTCTGAACTCTTGCATTCCTGCCTTATCCTCTTCATCAGTATGATTAATTATTTTTTTAATTTATAGTAAAATATTTAATCACAATTTTCACCTGCTGCATGGGAAATTCTTACCGTGAGTATTCTTCATCTATTGGTAGATTTTACTGCTGTTCTCCACATTTTTTCTTCGTATATCTTATCAATGCTAGTGTTACAGCAAAATGTGAGAGCTCAGCATTGCAGTCAAGTGCTACAGCTATTCAAAAGTCTCCAGAGGTGAAGGAACTGAGAGACACTCAGAGAGATGGAGAGGATCCAAACTTTATTACACTGGCATGTCCAGAGGAGTTTGTACTCCAAAGTTTGAGCCCCAGACTGGTACTAGGGATTGAACTCGGGTCCTTGAGCTTTGGAGGCAGGCAGCAGAACCACTGAGCTAAATCCCCAGCCCACCAAACAGAAATAGAAGTAACCTTATATAGTGATCTGTGGGGTAGGAAGGTTGAGGTCACATACCAGGCAAGCATGTTTGCAGAAGGAAGGGCAGAGTTAACAGAACATCTTGAAATATCCAGTAGGAACATCTTGCAGCTTGAACAATCACATTTTCAGTCAGGACACCTGAACAGTTACATTGTTTGAACAGTTACATTGGCAGTGCAGGTGGCTTTAACAAAGCATCTTATGATTCTTGACAAAAATGTGACGGGGGCACAGACAAAGGCCTGCTATGATGTACATTCTTTCCTTATCACTAGAACAGTTACTTTCCAAGACTCATCATTGAGTGGGTTGGATATTTCTGAGCTAATTATTTGCACACTGACTGGGCCAGCATCAGAGTTCCAAAGCTGTCTCCTCAGCTGTGAAAGGAATAAATTGCTTTGTCTACATAAAGATCAGCTGTGGGATTCTCTGTGAAGATCCAATTCCTCCATTTCACTAACAAGACAGTGAACCGAATCATGCCCCCAGCCTTGCCTCCTCCAGTTTCTGCTGCTTGAGAGACCCCAAGAATACACTAAAGAGATCTTCTTTACTTCAGAAAGTGTAATTTTGGGTCGCGCGGAGGACGCCGAATCACTCTGCTGCAGACAGGCAGGTCTGCCCACGCCCTACCTAGGTCCCCAGTAGCGCGGAACACACGCCGAGTCAGCCTGCTGCAGACAGGCAGGTCTGTGCACACCCTACCGAGGTCCTGAGTCGCGCAGAAGACACCCAGTCATCCCGCTGCAGACAGGCAGCCACCTGATTCCACACTACAAAGACGCAGAGGACACCAGACCACCAGACCAAGGTA